AATTACGTGGGTGTTCGTATACAAACATGACATAGTAAACTTTATCCGATCGGGTTAGTAAAAAGTTAGGTCCACAACGTCCTAGAATATATAAAATACATTAAACTTAATTCACTGTCCAGCATCTGTACGTGTAGCCGTAGCGTCTAGATTTTTGTGTACAAGGTGTTTCAGAACGTTTCGCGTTTTGTTTTTTAACGTACTAGGGTGCTGGAGGTTTCCGGAACGTAACGAAGTCTGGTCCGTTGTAAACTTTCCGTAAAATTTATAGGATATAAAATGAAGTCCCCTAGGTATAAGAGACCAATTTGGACACGTCCCAAAAGAAAGGTGTCTTCTCTCCTATTAAAGCTCGTCCAGGGGTTCATGAAGGTCGAAACCACTTACCTACATTTAGAATTTTTAATCCCTAGCTCGGCATACCGAAAAAGTTCCGGCTATGGGCTCATGTCTAATAATCATTAGGTCCTCTGGCTATTGGCTTATAAACCTTGGCTATATCCGCCTCAACCCACATTGCGCAATGACATTATTACTTAAGACAAACAGCGAGTTGCCTCATCACATTCGCGATTTGAAAAATATTAAGTCATCTAGTGGTGATGTCGCATATTGTACACGCGGGGCTGTGCGCAATGAATGATTTTAGGGTAAGGTATAGTGTTGATGTCCTGTTCTCCCCAAAGGCGGCGCCGTCCAAGTATACCATGCATTGACCGACACGCAGGGGTGAGACGTGCACGTCACGATGTATTTGTACCCGGCTCAGGTCACTATTGAAAGTTCCCCACCCCATACGGGTAATAAATCTCAAACAGGCTCTTCTTGATCTGTCCATTACACTGCCACTCAACCCGTTTGACACAGGTCCGGCTTCGACAATAGGTGACGACGATTGTGGTGCAGTTGCAGTTTTGTGGACGTTTCTTGTGTACGATTCCACTCGATTCCGTGTGCCGATAAACAACAAACAAATATAGTTGGCATCAGACAAGAAGAAGAGACAGAAGCCAACAACAGGACAAAACTTACTGCTTATGTGATGGCGGCGGACGACCATTCTCTTCAAATAACGGGAGGTGCCGTACGCGTCAAGCATGCACCGAGGCCGCTCATTTCAATTCCATTTTCATTGGCTTGCTCATTTCATTGGGCGCAAAAATACATCTCTCCATTGCTTCAATAACACTTACACAATGAAAAAAAAATCATTATACATTATATAATTTTTTTACAATCATAGTTTAGGGGGTAGAGACGGCCGATATTTCAAGTAACGACGTCATTAAGCTTTTAGGAGGCCCATTAGAACACAGTTTATACAATCAAAATACGGAATTCGTATACACAAGTTAATTTGAAAAAGTTGTAGATTATCGGTTATTCACGTCCCTTCGAAGTAGTCGAAAGAAACAAAAAAAATATATACACATACAACCACCTCAAAACAATACACACGTAACACATAAAAGATTAAAACAAGTACATAAATATAACGAACGTAATATTCTACAGTTACAAACTGTCCATATTACACAATCACTATAGTTTCAAAGGTTTATATTTGACCAACAACGGAACCAGTTGGCAAAGCGTGACGTCACCCCATTCAAAGTGAATGGGCAGAAGCGTTGAAGCTTCGACGCACGCCGCCGTGTGGACGGGCCGTGAGCCCCATTTATTTTCCTCGCGGAAGGCAAAAAAACTCAGACATTATACTATTTCAAATAAAAGGGTTAGTTGGCTCAGGGTAAGATATTGAGTAAGAAAATCTTTATCCTGTTAAGCCCGGTATCACAACAATATTCACGAAATAACATTTAACAAACTATTAATGTTTCATACCGACTAGAAGAAACTCAGCTAACTGACGATATGAACAATTTTTACCGAAACACAAGTCTAACGCCAAGCCTCTGAAATAGCACTAATGCCCCTTTCACACCAACGCGGTTCCCGTTCTAGCTCCGTGCTTGCGCTCTTCTGGTTCGGAACCGGTTTTTCTTTTCAGCCCCCGTTTTGTTCACACCGCCCAGAGCCCGACTGCTGCTTCCGCGGCTGCGTCATGAAGTCACCGTTTACTTCGCTGATTTTCTCTCCAACGGCGCTCACAACAACAACATTGCGTCGGGTCGATTACCTATTCCTGCCTGTTGGCGTCAGCTGATAGAGGTTATAGTGCTTTATCTTGTTATACACAATGTTGATTATTCTCTCAGAGCCAGCTAAATACATGAGTCTGGGGTAGAGATCTTCAGAATTGGTTGGGCATCCGCTGTGTCACCTCGTGGCACAGCACATGTCTTGTGAATTCTCCGGCCGAAGCTCCAAATAAACCGTCAGTGTTTGCCATCAAAGTTCCTGCTCTCCCTGTGTCTCTCTGAGTCCTGTCTCCATTGTTTCAGAAGTTTCCATTACATTTACCACATGAATGAAAATGTTTTGCTTTTTCAGAAGCTGCTTTGGTTGTGATCTCATGGAGTTTATTCTGTGAGCAATGCCTGGCAATGCACACTGTCAGCTGCTTTCAGAGGACATGAGATAGTTCTGAAATGTCATTTTTCTGTGAAGTATCCTTCCAAAGTCCACTCAGTTTTACATCAAAGCGTGTCCTTCTAGTGATGAGACCCTGCTTTACTTCTTGTCTTCCTCAGGTATTTATGGGCCAAATGAAGGATGGTCGTCAGCCTACCCAAAATGCAGAGAGAGAAACCAATCACCTATCAACATCGTCGACCAGGATACCAAAATATCCACCGAGTATCAGGAACTGACACTGGAGGGCTTTGATGCTGAATCCTCCAATAAGACATCCATGAAGAACACTGGAAAAACAGGTACTGCAAAGACAGCTCGGGCTGCTGGTGAGATTTGGTTCATAGCTTATTGCCTTATATTGGATATGATTTCTTCAAAACTCATACTGACTGAAATGTTTGAAGTATTATATTGAAAGAGTGACTTAAAGGAGGGGTAGGTAATTTTGGAGAATCCGGCTCGAGTGCGCTAGAATTTGAAAATACACAGCTGGAAAAAATATGCCACTTCCTTACAGAGCCCTTCCTCCAACACACACGAACGCGCACATGACCAATGAGGGCACGAGATAAGTTTGTGCACAGATGGAAGGCTGACAGGCAGGTAGGCCTTCCAGTTATTTTAGCCGGGCCGGCTAAAATGATTGGTCGTGCTTTTTACAGTACTACAGCTTCCACAGATTACATTTTTTTAATGGATTTTTTGTCAAAGCACTTAAGATATTCATTGCTATCGGGATGTTAAGAGCATTCCATGGAATATAACAAAAAGTGTATCTCGAGCTGGTTTCTCAAACTTACCTACCCCACCTTTAAATTAATTAATTAATTTCAAATGTGAAATGTTACCAATATACTCACGGACCACTAGGGGGCGCTCACGGACCACCAGTGGTCCGCGGACCACACTTTGAGAAGCACTGAAAGGTAGCAGCCTTGACAGGCCACTAGATGTTGCTGTTGCGCAGCAAATTGTTGTTTTTTGTCCATTGTGGGACACAGCAATTCGGCCTACTTGTGCTAAAATCAGAGTAATTATTTAGAATTTTGAATATCCTGGGTAAATAACATTGTTGTGTGTAGATATGGTATATAAAACATAAATTTTCCAAAGATTACGAATTAAAAAATTTTCGAACCAACAATGTAACAATATCAGGTTGGAAG